GTTTTACCTGACAAACTGTAATTGAAAGAAGTGACCCTTCGGGGACTTCACGGTGAAAATGGGAGTGAGTGTGGACAGGAGCAGAAGCGGGCATGCCCTGGAATCGGCATGTATCGTAGACAGACCCCTGTCTTCATGCCATCTTGCGGCTCCTGCGTCTTCAGAGCCAGTGCACATACCATCAGTGAGAAGATTTCTTTGCAGCCCCTTTTCTCAGGTGCCACTGCACTTCTGCCACCTTTCTGTCTGCCCTGTGCCCCATTTTGTCAGTTCGTTGTGTCCTGTTTAGCTCCTGGACTAAACTGGGAACTACTTAGGTACAGGCTATGTCTTAACTCTTCCAACGGCTCTTGTTTCCAACACTAGGTATGTATTTAGATACCAAACCCATGTTTGAATGAACTGAATGAACTCTCCGATTTGCAGGTACATTAACTCTCCTCTGTGTGCTTAACATGAGTTGTTTCTTCAGAAACAGCATCCACCTGTGTTTTAAACACCTAACAGCACCACGGTCATCATACTGACAAGGCTGAGAGCTGAGGGAATGTCTCCTTTGGGTGGTGGCCTTATTTTCAGGGCAATACTGAGGAGCCTGAGGGAAGTCCCTTGGGGTCCTGAGAGTCAAATGCTGAGCGTGGTGCTTGAAGGCAGGGAGCCCAATGACCGCTGGTCTTGCTCTCGGTGCACACAAGGCAGCTGTGAGCCCAACCTCTTCCTCTAAGTAAATTTAATGCACAGCTGCACTTTATAAGTATGCACAATACTAGGGAAATACTTTGGAAACTGTTAGGATTGGTTTAGATTTTGTGACTTCCAAATAAATCAGACAATCGAATATCGAGCAGGTGTCTTCCAAGTAGCTAGTAAAGGGGCCAGAATTCACATCATTTGAAAAGGGTTTGGGAACATGTCGAAAGGAAACACCAGGGCACAAACGGCGATTTCTTACCTGCATTTTTGAAACTGTGTTTTCAGTTCATCCCTCCTTTGCAAATTACTTTGGTTTCTTTGTTATCTTAAAATATATCCTGATAACAGATGATCAATTTTTAATAAAATAAAATTCTACATGGAGGTGACATGATTTTAAGGACTCACACCAGTCAGGGCAGTGTATGGCTTGTCACCCCACAGAGACTTAGAGACAATTTGCTACCATACTTGATGTCTTTCGTATATTTCTTCTAGATGCAGGACTGTTGGCTTTTGTAATCTTCTTATTCTAGAAAGGTTTTCATAGCCAGAATTGCAAGGAATACTTTATAGATTGTGACTTCAGATTTAGACAAAAAGTGCTCAGATCTTAAAAAGTTATTTCTGTCTCTGAACATAAACATTAAAAATGTAGAGATAAAACTACACTGTACATTATTTCTGTTGTCATTGATGCATGGCCATGTTTGATATCTGTACGCATAATTAGCAACACACAACTTATGTTTGAATTTTTGTTTAATGAAAAGTATCCATTGTAATAATATATATATTTAGTAGTTATCTGGTTGTCTTCGTTTTTTTTAAGTCATTAACTTTTTTATTTATTTTTTTAATTAAATTTATTGGGGTGACATTGCTTAGTAAAATTACATGGGTTTCAAGTGTACGATTCTGTAATGCATCATCTGTATATCCCATTGTGTTCTCACCACCCAGTCAGTTCTCCTTCCATCACCATATATTTGACGCCCCCCTGCTCTCCTTACTAAAATGGTTACTAAACTGTTGTCTGTGTCTGTGAGTTTTTGTTTCTTGTTTGTTTTGTTCCATTGTTGCTTTCAGTTTTATATTCCACATGAGTGAAGTCATATAGTTCTCGACTTTTTTCTGTCTGACTTATTTCGCTTAACCTAATGATGTTAAGATCTGTCCATGTTGTGGAGTAGAGTGCGGGAACGGATTCAATGGAATTGTAATAGATAAGCATGATATCGGGGGTGGGAGGGCAGTGGATGGGGGGAGGGGGGTTGTTACTTTGTGAGGGTGAAAAGGGTAACTATTGCATTGTTCTGTACACCTGAAACTAACAATAAAAAAAAAAAAAGATCTGTCCATGTTGTAGCAAATGGCACTGTTTCATCTTTTTTATGGCAGAGTAGTATTCCATTGTGTATATGTACCACATCTTCTTTAATCATCTATCGAAGGACACTTTGGTTGTTTCCATAGAGCAACTTAAGAGATATGTCACCTTTATAGATATAGATATAAATAGATGCATATTAGTTTTTAAATAATATTCACAGAAGCATTTTTTTTTCTTATGAGTATCATACATTTGAAAAGCATTACCCTTGTCCTTAACAAAAGGCTGTAGGACACCCTGCCACACCCACTAAATAAGTGTTGACAGGTTGATTTGTAACACATCTGTGCTGATACTTGACACTTTTCCAGGAGTGCAGTGCAGTTGTTAATGCACATATTGGAAGATATAATTTTAGTTTGTTGAACCAAAGTTACAGTAATACCAGCTTTTTGCATAATAATTTTTGCCTTTTTCCTTAAATGAATTAGTTTCTTAAATTATGTAGATGACGAAGTGCAGCTCCAAACCACCGTCACCATCTACCAGCTTTGGTGATTGCCCAGGAATTGACCTTTACTGAGATCTTTATTCCTCCAGTCAGCTTCACGTTCCTGCCTAAGTCCTCTCATGTCACCGGCAGGACTCCCTGGAGTGTCCCTCGCAGGGCGGGCAGGTCCAGTGGTACAGACTCCTCAGCTTTTGTCTACCTGGGAATGTCTGACTCCTCACCTACTTTTGAGGGACAGTTTTGCTGGATGTGGGATTTGTGGCTGTCAGCTCTGTTTCTTTTCGCACCATGACCATATCAGCCCACTGGCCTCTGGCCTCCTACGTGTCTGATGAGAAATGGGCAGAGTCTTACCAAGGGTCCCTTGTATGTGACGAATTGCTTCTGTCTCGCTGCTTTCAAGATTCTCCCTTTGTCTTTGTCGTTTGAAAATTTGGTTATAATGTGTCTCGGTGTGGGTCTCTCTAAGTTCATCGCACTGGGAATTTGTTGAGCTTCTTGCATGTTTATATTCATGCCTTTCATCAACTCTGGGAAATTTTAGCTATTCTCTTTTTTTCAAGGTTTTATTGGGGAATTGGGGGAGAAGAACGGCGTTGGGGAATCGGGGAAGGGGAACAGACAAGTTGCTGTCCTTTTGTTCTTCAGTCTAGTTGTGGAGGATGTTGCTTCACTGGCCCATGTTGGTATTATCATTGCTCTCTTCCCGGGTGAGGCATTTGCTCGCTAGCCATTGGACGGCTGCTCACGGCAGCTCACAGCAGCTCATGCCAGCTGCCAGCGACTCACGCTGGCTGCCAGCCACACACGGCAGCTCATGGCAGCCCACTGCAGCAGGTGCTGCAGCCTACGCCATCACCAGTAGTAACTCACAGCAGCCCAGCTCCAGGTAGAGCTGTTCACCATCTTAGCTGTAGAGGGCGCAGAGTCGCTGGCCCACATGTAGGATCCAAACTGGGGTCCTGCTGCTCAGAGCTGGCGCTCCTAAGTCAACTCTTAACCAACACGCTCCTCTCGGCCAGACCAGCTGTTATTTCTTTAAATATTCTCTCTGCCCTTGTTCTCTGTCTTCTCCTTCTGGGACTCCCACAATGAGTATAATGACCCAGTTTGTGCTGCCCCACAGATCCCTCAGGCCCTTTCAATTTCCTCCAGCCTTTTCCTTTTTCTGTTTCTCATGCTACATAATTATCCTATTTTCAAAATCACTGACTCTTTCTTCTGGCTACTCAAATCTGCCTTGAATCTCTGTGGTGAATTATTATTATTATTTTTTTTTTCAGTTTGTACTTTCAGCTCTTGAATTTCTTTTGGTTTCTGTTTAAATTTTCTATCTCTTTATTCATATTTTCATTTTCTTCATATGTCATTTTCTTGACTTTCTACACATCTTTATTTCTTTGAACATCTTTAATATTTTTCTTTTAAAGTCTTTGTCTAGTATATCTGCCATCAGATCTTTTTCATGGTTAGTTTGTTGATTTATGTTTTCCTTTTAAATAATCATACTCTCCTGTTTCATTTTATGCCTTGTCGTTTTTTTGTTGAGCACTGGACATTTGAGTACCATAATGTGGTAGCTCTAAAAGTCAAATTCTTCCCCTTCCTCGGGGTTTGCTGGATTTTTTTTTGTCATTGTTATTATTCAGTGGTTTTGTTTGTTTGTTTGTTTGTTTTCTTTTTGTAGGCTTTCTCTGTGCCACGAATCAGCCTGAGATGTAAACTTAATGTCTTCTTATGTCTTCTCTGAACCTTTCCTTAGTCAAGTGCAGTCACTTTCTATTTTCCCCATATATGAACTTGTTTTCTAATGTCCCAGTCTTTAATGGCTGGCTCCCAAAAGGAGAAAAAGAGAAAAATGAACGGGGTAGAAGCACTGGCTCTTGGACACACTTGAGCCAGAAGGGGAGGGGCTTGCGACAGAGCGGGGAGATCTACCAATGAGGGCTGCCCATCTCTTTGTCGGCATCTCTGTGACCAGAAGCAGCAGTCAGTGATCAAAGTACAGATTCTCCAACATTTGGAGGACGGGGTCCCTCCTTTTGCCCACCTGTCTCCCACACGCTGTGTGCTCCCTGCTTTAGGAATACGTGCGCAGCTGCCTGCCCTGTGGTGGGGGTGGGGAAGGGTGGCTGCGCCTTGCTAAGTCCTGAAATTGACCACAAATAACCAGAATTTACCAGCCAATCCTTCCGCTGGAAGCATCTAGCCTTCAACAGACTCCAGAGTTCTAAACTAGTTACCGTACGTCCAACAGATGCCGCATGCAGGTGTGCTGTGGGGAGAGCGTCCTGGCGCTTCCTGCTGACCTGTCTTCCCAGGACCCCCTGTCTGATTCCCGTGTCTCCCACGCTGTTTTTCAGTGCCCTTCCCTGCTGGTCACCTGGGTCACACTGTGGATATCTGACGTCTGAGTGATAAACTGGTAACTTACCGTTGTTTTCCTTTTCTGTCTCTGAACAGGAAGACAGTGATCCACCCATTCATGAAAGTCTCAGCATAGAAAACACATTGTGGGCAAGCACCATTGTTGCATCAGGTAAGAAATTAGTTCTGTTTTCAGATTGCGTTTCTCTCTCTCATGTAGGCGATGCTTTGTGTGTTTGAGTGACTCCAGACAAGTGTTTCTCAGAACCTCTGCATTATGTGGGGATCTTATTAAACGTCCAGTCCCGTTTAGTGGGTGTGGCCAGGCCTGCACGTCTGATCGGGGCCAATCCCAGGGCGAGGCCTGTGCCGCGCTTCCCACGCTGTGCGGAGTCAGAGGCCCGCGTGGCGCAGTGCAGGGCACGCGGCTGGTCTCGACCTGCTTCGCCGCACTCCTGCCGGTGTGCCTCCCTGAGAGGCAGCACAGCAGAGCTGGGGAAGCGCGTGGTAACGTTAGAGGGCCCTTGTCTCTCCCGGTTCGTGTAACAGGACCCATAGGAGGCCGTGTGGCGGGTTGTCTGTGGGAGAGACAGTGTTAGGTGAGGCAGGGCCTCAAGGGCCAGGCGCAAAGTCCTGAGTTTTCTTTTGAGTGAGAGTGGAGGGTGTCGGAGTGTTTCTAGTGTCTGAACAGGAAGGCCACTCAAATTTCCATTCCTGGCAGATATTGAATTCTAAATGATTCCCACCTTTTCAGAAAGTAGTTGAACCTGCTGATGGAACCAGGAGTGGAGCTCAGCAGCAGGCAGCAGTAAGGACGCTGGTTGGGGACAGGAACACGAGAGGACATTCAAGCAGGGCTGTCTGTCTGCTCAGTGCCTGTCTGAGAATGTGTCTACTCGTCTGCTGGTGGTGTGTGGGCTCTCGGTTCCAGACCAAGCCGAGCCGAATGGAATGGTCCTTACAGAGACTGTGCCCAGGGGCCAGGGGCCAGGGACACAGACGATTTCAAGTATCCTGAGTGTCCCTGAACGGACGGAGGGCCCAAGCACAGACAAGCCGAAAACCTCCCTCGGGGCCTCTTCCTCCTCCGGGGAGACATAACCTAGATGTAAAGGACACACAGACGCGACTGGATATGCTGGATGGCAGCGGGGAGGTGTGTGTGTGTGTGCAGGGCTCTCGGCAGCTGTGTGAGGCCTGGTGCTGGGAGGGACACGGCAGGCCCCAGACCCAAGGTGGCCGGCGGCCACTGTGCCTGGCGCCTGGAGAAGGGAGGCCTGTGTGCGTGTGCTCCTTGGGGCCCATGTGGACACGAAGGTGTCAAACAGGCTACCAGGGGCTGCACACATTTATCTTTCAGGGGCAGAGAATGAAAGGAGGTGTGATGTGGTCCTGATGTTTGTAACTTTAAAGAGAGCTTGATAGCAAATATGACTATTTTAATAGGGGAAACTCTGGGAGGTGTTTGATGTCTTTATACTGATGAATTTTTATGACTTAGAGGAAATAAGGATAGCCCGCCACGGAGAGACCTCGGGGCCAGGTCCCGGGCCGCGGAGCCCTCAGGGAGGGTCTTACAGCCACCGTGGATGGAGGGTGCTGTGCAGCCAGCGGAAGGCTCAGAATCTGGTCCTCTCACTTGTTTCACGTGACTGTGTTTGTGTTCACACTGGTGACAGTCATGGGTCGGGTACGCCCTCTCCCCCACCCCCTGAACAGCAAGGGGCTGTCCACGGGCGAAGGAAGGACTGTGGCCGGCAGGCCTGCTGTGTCCCCGTCCCATGGCCGGGCTTAGCTGGACCGAGGCTCGCGCCCAGCTGAGCCGCCCTCGGCCCCCACAGCCGTCGCCCTCCCGCACCTTGCATTCAGCATTTGTGGGGAAGTGTTTGCAGAACGCCGCGTGTGAGCAGCGCTGGGCTCCAGGCTTTGTGCTCTGCCTGCGGACACTGGCTTCTACCTTGTCTGTGGTCACCGCTGTTTCCTCTTCTGAGTAAAGGATCAGAATTGAGTTCATTCATAAAGATACTGGAAGAGTCCCTTTTCCTTCAGACGTTTTATCTGCTCTGTGTCCCCTGGCTATTAGAATGTTGTTACTGATCCCCAGCACTGTTGATTTGTGGCCTTTCTTCTCCAAGAGGCAGAAGCCACCTGATCTGAAGCCTCCTGACCTGTCCCCAGCACACGGCCCTCTCCTGAGCCTAGGCCCCTGGGCGGCCTCGGCAGGGCAGCTCCGGCTGCGGCACAGACCTGCATGTGCACACGAGGAACCCTTGCTTATGCTCCGACATAAAGACTGCAGTTCCACAGGGTCGTGCTTTCTTCTAAGAGAGTATTTAGATTATTAATACTTCAAAATCATCCATTTCAAAGGTTTAAATAAGGAGCCTTTAATTTTAACTCGCTTGGACATTTTTTAAATGCAAGTTTTTTTCATTAGTTTCAAATCTTTTGACCATACTCCTCTTTATTGAAACTCCTTATTAATGTGAGAATGTGCAAGACTGTGTATTTCCAAACTGCTGCACCCTGAGGGGTGTTTGCAGGACCTGGCTTTCCAGCAGTAGTGTGAGGACACACATCTTTCTACTCGATTACACGTTGAGAAGGAAAGGCCGGCATTTTTGTAAACCTTACCTTAAAAGTTGTGTCAGGGGCCGGCCGAGTGGCGCGATGGTTGAGAACTCGCTTGGGATGCCAGAGGGCCCCGGTTCGGATCCCACATATGAGGGCCAGTGACACTGCCCTCCACAGCTAAGATGCTGAACAACAGCTCAACCTGGAGCTGGGCTGCCGTGAGTCGCTGGCGACGGCGTAGGCTGCAGTCCCTGTGGCAGTGGGTTGCCATGGGCTACCGTATGTAGCCAGCAGCCAGCAGCCAGCGTGAGCGGCTGTCCAGAAGCCGGCGACTGATCTGCCTCGCCAGGGAAGAGCGCAATGATGGTGCCAACTTGGGCCAGTGAAGCGGCGTCCTCCACAACTAGATTGAAGAACAAAACGACAGCAACTTGTCTGTTCCCCTTCCCCCAATTCCCCATCACTGTTCCCATCCCCCCAATTACCCAATAAAAAAAATATTTAAAACAAAACAAAACAAACAAAAAAAAGTTGTGTCAGTTGATTCAAGTTGCCTCCTAGGTGGAGCCAACTCGGGCCTCCCTCCCTTGTCACGGGACACTGAGGCGTGGGAGCCAGGACTCCACACCACAGACAGACGTGAAGAAGAAGGTCCCCAGAGGGACAGGCAGCTCCCTGTGGTGCCACGCTTCTTCCCATCGTCAGTTCAGGGGGCGTCGCGTTCTCAGAGCAGGGGCAGTGCCCTGCGGAGCTGCGTGTCTCCCACACGTGCCTGAGGGCGCACACCCGCCTTAACTTGCCACAACCCCGGAAGCACAGATGAGCCCCTCGCGAGGGACGGCGGGGCGTGTGCACCGGGGGTCTGGAGTGGTAGACTGGGACAGATACAGAAACCGCCGGTAGGACCTAGACACTTACAGCGATTTGATGGAGCGATTTAATGTCAGAGAGCTTGGGGCCTTGTGTTCTCTCATCTTGGTGTTTGTTTTCACTGTCTCTCTCGTCAACTTACTGTTGGTGGGTTTTACAAGGCTCGTCCTCACAACCTGCTCATATTGAAAGCAGCCTGGCCCTTTGCCGCCATGGCTGGCTTGCCAGGCTCCACTCTGGAGAAAGCTCGGCCTGATGCAGAATTGACACGGCTGAAGGAGCCCCCACTAGGAGCGCCCGGAGGGACAGCCGGAGCTCTGGTACAGAGACAGAAACAGCCTCTGGCTGAGCACGCAGGAAAAGTGGGGACAGCAAGGAGCGTGCCCCAGCCGCAGCCCGTACTCCCCGGTTAGGGGTGGGAGGCACAGCTTCCCAGACCTTCCGGCACTTTGGGGGCTGTGAAGTGGGCCTAGGCTCATCACTCCCTGCGGGCCTGAAGGCCCCCCTGGGGTGCGCAGCAGGTGGGGCCACACCGGTGCAGGTCCCAGCTGTCTGTCACCCTGTGTCTGTCCGGGCCTCGGCCTCTAACTCCCAAGGCGGACCCACACTCTTCCTGTGGTGCCCGTGGCTGTCCATGGCAGGTGTGTCATGTGCGTGGGTTCACTCTCTCCACTGGTGTCCATGCCCCTGGGTGCTTCCATCTTTTCCCGGCAGTAAGTCCCCAGCACGCATGTGCTCTGCGGTCCCCACAGGTCCCCCCATGGGAGGGCAGTTGAGATTGGCCCAGAAAAGCACCTGTAACCTGCAGCCGTCCCCGGGCGCTTTCTGTGCTGTGTGTACCAGGTTCTGGGTGTGTAGCTAGAGTCAGAAAATACTTCGCTTGGCTGATAGCTCTCTCCGTCTGCCTGTCAGCCTTTCTCTGCAACATTTTGTCGTTCTCGTATTCAGTCTTTCCTTAACTCTGCTGAATGCGTCATATTTGGTCTCATTTTCAAAGTCAACAGGTTAGCCCTTCCCCCCGTTTCTTTTTGCCACGTGTACAGGCTGACTCAGTCTTTGTCAGAGAAAATGGAGCATATTTTAAATGTGCTATGCGGACTCTAGTGACTTCAGTGATCAAACCTTAGCATGACAGACTCAAAAACTGCAGTATTCTGAGTACAGCGATACTCACTTTTAGTGAGAATTAAATGAAATAATACTTGAGAGCCTTTACCAAACTTTAATAAGATTATACACAGAAAAGTGCATGAGGAATTCTGTTAAACGCTTTTACGTAATTTCACATGCACATGCCGACCTTATTCTGTAGGTTTTCCGATTGAAGTACTGTGTTAGGCTTGTCATTTCTCAGATTTCGCGTTGGATACTTCACACTGTACCACCAGCCTAGAGTCAGCATCACTGATAATTGATCTGCGTTTTAGGGCTGGTTTCTAGCTTGATTAATTTTTGAGCCTTCTCTGAGACTTGTTTGCTCCGCTAATGTTAAAAATAAATTAATTTTGTAATTTGTCTTGTTCTATTTTTGTGCTTATTTAACATCAGTGACACTTTTGTATTTTCATTAACTTATACTTAATTGGGAAGTTAGGAAAGTTTTTGAAATACTATATCATTATGTATTTAATAGTTTTCTGTGTACTAAGTACAGACATAAGACTAAGGAGCTTTACTTGAACCGTAATGAATAAGGGCAGCATGGGTGTGGTTCCGGTTACCGTGCGGACGGGGCTTCCTCTCCGTTCAGGAACACAGTAGACAGAGGCCTCACAGCTTTCCCAGGGACACGCATTTTTAAAGGGGCAGGGGAAATAATTATTCTAAAAAAGAAAAATGTGTGACCTCTGCAAATACCACTGGTGAGCAGTTCTCTAGCACCTTCTGGCTTCCAGAACATTCTGTGGAGGAGGCTGTTTGTACTGTGACTTATGGGGTATGCAGCTGCCACTGTGCTTTATGTGCAGGCGATCCATCCCTAAGCCAGATTTACTCACTAGGGGCTGACTGGCGACTCGCTAGACCTCACGCAGTTCACTTAACACGACGTCAGAGTCGTTTAATCCTTGTGGCTAATGCTGCAGTGTTGTTGATTTCAATGAGTATTATGGATACATTGTCTTTGTCACCTTGATAATATTTCTCACCTTCAAAATTTGAATGAATTACGATTATGAATTACGCATAGCTGCAGTTCTAGAACCAGACGCCCATGGCTTTCGATTTGACATTCCAGAGATGAATGCCTCCGAGCCTCTGTAATAATCTGTGGTTGTTCTAGGGGTATTTTAGTATTCTTTTATCTTAAGTTTGATAGGCCAAAAAATTATCATTTCTTATTGACATGTACAATTAGAAAAGCAATTATACATGGAAACATGAACAAGAGAGACTAACAGTATCTCAATTCAAAATCAGATATTTCCTTTCTTGTTTTAATGGCATATGTGCTGAAATGTCAGCAGAGACTGTTATTCCAGGTGGTGCTGTGATGTGTGTAGTGGAAACTTACCCGTAGACTCGTTCAAAGACAGTGGTTCAGCTGGTGCCGTGTTGGTGTGAAGGTCATGCGTTGAGTTTGGCCAGTGAAGAAGGTGGCCTCTTGTAATGTACCTTTAGTGTTAGAATTACCATTTTCGTAGGCATTGATGAATGAACAGTGTCACTCTTTCTGTGTTCAGTGAAAAGAATATTAGTATATATTCTAACATTATATGTAGGTAAACTTGTATTGCTTAAGAAATCACTTGAGTGTTTCAAAGTTTGTTTTAAAAGTTGAGATTAGGTTTTAATGAACTAGTCAAATTAAATATACTCTTGGATACATTTATATAAAGATTGAATAATGTAATAATATTTCTTTAAAACGATTACTTAGAAAGTATTGTTATCTCTGTGCTCACCCTCCACAGTATCTCTGTAAGGACCACTTTCGTGTTTTGCAGGTACGGTAATAGGTGTTGTCATTTATACTGGAAAAGAGACTCGAAGTGTAATGAACACATCCAATCCCAAAAATAAGGTAGGCTAGACTAAGGGGCGACCGCTTTAATGGACTTCTCTTTCCTTTCCTAAGAAGGTGCGTGTGGCTCTCAATAGCCCTTTCATTTTAGCTGCTATCTGATGTGACACAGACTTTTAAAGCGTTGGTGGCTTAGGGCATGAATTCTCTATTTATGTAACAACATTTTATGCTCATACTGAAGAATTTCCGAAAGTATATTTTCTGGGTTAATCAGAGTTTTACATGTCTCTTAAATTTTCATTGTTGGATATATAATTTGCCCATAATTAGAGAGTTAATTGTGGGTCTCTTAATTTCTCTTCAATCTATTTATTTTACAATTTGCACTCTTTATTTTTATATTCATGGTTCATTTTTAAAATAAAGGAATCTATATTAATGTTTTTATAGTATTTAATTTGATAGTGCTATATTGTTAAACTAGTTTTATTTAAGTTATTTCCATTTCAGGCGAAGTATATTAAAAACCAGATTTTAGTTTTACAAACTGCTTGATTATATTTCTAAATTGATTCTTTTCCTGTTACACAGTCCTGAGATTGTTATTTATGCAGTCAACGTGTGCAAGAGTCAAATCGTAACAAAAAGGCTATTGACCTGGAGTTGTTTAGTGACCTTTCTCGAGCTTACGGCCACGGGGAAGACTGTGGCCGTGGAGCTTGACTGCCAGGGTCCCAGTCTAGATGTTGCCACCTCACAGCACTTGACCCTGGGCAAGTGGTTTAATGCTGTGTCTTACTGCTCAGTAAACGCTACCTGTCATTACTGCCTTCCTGTAGAAGGAAGTGTCCAGTGTGAACGAACGGCCTCGCTCTTGAGCCTCACCCCTCGCTGAGTCAGGGGGCCCTGCCCGCCACGGAGCCCAAGGCCGTCAGCCGCCCGCTGCCCTCCTGCGTCCCTGCCCCCTCTTCCTCATCCATGCTGCTCCTTCTCTTTTTTCTCTTCCTCTTCCTCTCTCCTTTTTTGTAAATAGCCTTCTGGATTTCCTTGGTGTTGGCAGAATGTGTCTGCAATAGGATTGGCACCTGGGAGGTTTGCAGAATTGGCTTTGAATCCTCACGTTGCCACTTGTCAGTGTCCCACGTGGAGCAAACGCGCGCTTCTGGTGGCTGGCACCTTCCTGTGCACACTCGGTGTGTGGGGCTCCCCTCCAGGTGGTGAGAGCGAAGACCCGGGCCGAGTGCGAACACAGCACTGTGCTGAGCGCTTTCTGTGCGCTCGTCATGAAGCCGCACAGCCCTCGGAGGGAGCGCTGCATGTGGCTTTAGCGACACTGTGGAGCAGGGCTGCGTGCCGCGTGGCTTTAGCGCGGGGACGTGTGGAGCAGGAGCTGCAGCCAGTCGGCGTGGCGCTGCTTTCCTTCTCCTTGACGGCGCCGTGCACGGTCGAGCCCCCCTTGGGATGGAAACACTTTTGTAAAGAGTAATCTTAGGAGGGAAATGACATCTCTCAATGTGTATGTCATTAAATCTTTCTAAGTGTTACATGTCAGATTTGTAAGAATAAAATTCAGGAAAGGGTTACAAGAGCTATCATGGACAAAAAGTAACCGGTGTAATTTATCTAGGGGATGTATTGACAGAGTGTGTGGTGTTTGAGTCCCTGAATAGAGAAGGGAAGACAGAAGTGACTTAGTGCTGGAAGACTGCTTCTCATGCTCCTCACTTTGCCAGAGCTGAGTCAGCCAGCCGACGTGGACTTCAGAGAAAGCTAGTAATAGGGAGATGGAGTCATGCACCCAAGCGTCACTGGGTTTTTTCAGGGAAGCCAAACTGTTCCCAGTCCTCAGTCTGAGCACTGTGATATGCAGAGGGCGTATGGGGACATTGGCCGCTAGGTGAAGTTTCATTGATGGCAGAGTAATTGGGCCGAAGGTACACATTTACGAGCGAGTCCGTCATGCTGCGATCCAGACCTCCCTAAAACCACAGTGGCTTTTCCCGCGGGGCCGATTTCACCCCATGGCTCATGCCTAACATGCTCCCCATGGCCTCAGGGACCCCTGCAGACATGCTTCCATGACCACTGGATAAGAAGAAATGCTTCTGCCAATGATGATGTGGGTCCGTCCCTTCCTCGGCCAGAGCAACGTAACGTCCTAACCTCAGGTGACGGAATACAGGAAGCCTGGTCGCACCCCAAGTGCAGAGGGAGGGGCAGTGGAGGTCTTGCGTGAATATACTGCTGACCGCCCATGGCGTGCTCGTGTGGACAGCTCCCCGGCCTCGGAGCCAGGAGGAGAAGTGGGTGGGGAGAGCATGCTGGAGGTGGGTGGTAGCCAACGTGCTGGCACTGTGGGCGTGACCAGGCATGAGAGCCACGGGCGGGTCGCAGCCTTGGCGACCAGGAAACACCAGTGACACAGAAGTCGGTGCCACAGGTTTACTCGGGTGGAATGCAGATGCCACAAGCAGCAGGAGGACTCTCTGAAGGAGGTCGGTGCTGAAGGGGAGGGTCATACGTGGAGGGCCCTGGGGCCAAGGTCAGGGAGGGGACGGAACAGCTTTCAGGCAGGGCGCCCGAGGCTCAGAGCAAGGTGACGGAAGGCCAACTGGACCGCGGGGAAAAGATTTCATTGATTTTGTTTGTTTCTGGTGAGAAAATCAATATCACAAAACTATTAATGCTTTCAGTAAGAGGACAGAGAGTCTCAGTTTATAAAGAAGAACAAATATTCTGTGGAAGAATATCACTTAAATATGTAAATCTAAGGTTACTTAAAAGAAAACGGTATGTTGTTATATGGAGAATAGCTGCCATGTGAAAAGGGGCATGGTTTCTTCGGTTTGTAGAAAATACTCACAGTCATCAGTCAGCCACCCGTTGGTATCTTCCTCCCCTCCTCTCCCCGCATCTTGCTCCATTTTTCACTTGCTGCTTTCATTAGCGCGTATAAGAGGAACCTGCAGATTTGTAAAATTGCTTTCAGTCCCTAGGATGAAAAACAGTACAGTGAAAGCTGTGCTGACTTCAGGACAAAAGAGTAATGACCAGTATCTGACGTGGTGAACCTGGACTTTAAGCCACTCCGGACGCATAGAGGACCTCAGCCCAGCAGCTCAGGCCTGTGGCTGCCCCGCTGGTGCTGGGTCTTCAGCTTATAGCGGAGCCAGGCCCAGTAGGCGATGCTCTGAGGCTGCTTTGCAAGAGCCCAGAGCAGAAGCAAAGAAATGGCTGGTCTTGTGTGGCAGGTGGTTGGGGTGGGGGTGTCGGAGGAGCAGCGGGCTCCTAAGGTCGTGGTGCGGGGTTCTGACACTCGGCACACCCCCAGGACCCCTTCCTGCTCAGCCCCTGCTCAGCCCACAGGCCTGTCTTTGGGGAGGGCTGTCCCCAGGGATCCTGTCTCTGGGGACAGCAGCAGCCCTCGTCTCTGACGGAGGTGGGCGTGTGTGTGACTTCCGCAGGTAGGCTGCGCGTTCTCGTGGGCCGGCATCTGTACTTTTTAACATCGTCCGAGAGTTGAGCAGAAGGATGTTAAGTATTTAACTGCTTTTATTGGTTGCTTCATAAAATATAGTTGTAAACTCGTCATTCCAGTCAGCTAGTGTCCCAAGTCTTATTTTGGCTAATTTCCTTTTTCTCTTCATTTTGTCCATTTTGTCCTCTCTAGCTGCCTTTTAAAAGAAAAATTCAAGCAGAAAAATAAGGGGAAAAGAATGATTACTCATACACCTGAAAACCCAGGTTTAGTAGATACCGTTCCACTTTATTCCAAGAACACACTTTATAAACTCAGAAATTAAGGTACTTTCTCCAGCTGCTGCCCTAGCCACCTGCCTTATTCTGGGACACCTGGCCCACACTTGCCCAGTGGAGTGGCCCTGGGTGGCGACATCAGCTTCACATCTACCTACACAGATCCCCCCGCCCTAGACTCCTGAGTCAGAAATTTGTACGTGCGCGGTGGGGGGTCCTGATGCATGCTGCAGACTGAGTGCCCTGTCCACTAGTGAGTGCTCATTGTTACCTACGATGCGAAAAGAATTCCTGGGTAAACTCAGCAAGCTTACCTAAATCCATTGACAGAAGTCCCACTTGAATCCACCCTATTAGATTGCTCTTTGAAAGTGAATCTTATAATCTAGCTTGATCATTTTATGTAATCAGAATATACAGCTTCGTGCTAACTGCAGAAGTTTATTAGAATACTTTTTTAAATATAGCATGTTTTATCCAGACATAGGGATCAAGACTAAATCCTACAATATTGTTAAATGGAGGAAAATTCTAAGGTAAAAAGAAATCTTAAAGCTCCTTTTCAGGATTGAAATGTTTTCCCTCAGAGTGTCAGCGGGGAGCTGGGGTCCACACAAGTTTGAAGATTTTATTTTAAAACTTTGAACAAATCAGAAGTTTTTATTACTAAGCAATTACTTTTACAATAATATTTGATGAAAGTTTAAATTATAAGGCACGCGACTGGCATAATGGACTGCTTTATAAGACCTCACTTGAGATATATTTAATAAGATGATACTTGATTACATTTAAGAGGGAATAAATACTTACAGGAGGTGAGGAAAAATCAGTCGTGACAGGTTGCCATTTTCACGCTGTCCGTAATAATAACTTGCTGAGAGCAAGAACGTCAAGGATGAAATGATAATACAAGTTGCTCCAAGCGGATATTGTAATGCCTTGGGCACATCGGTTTGTGTTGCTAATGAAACGATGCTTTCAGCTGTCCCGCTGACAGGCATAGGTGATGTATGTGTGCCATTACCTGAATTAGAGCTCTGCTGATTCCCTGAATTGCTGGAAAGGCCTTTCAGACAATGGAGCCAGCTACAGCCGGCTGGTGCGCTTTGCAAGTGGGAATGTCAAGGCTGATCTGCAGAACAGCTTTCTTACCTGAAAAAGGACAGTTTATTAATATTTTAAAGCTGTGTCGATGTATATTAAAATATTACACTAGAATAACTTGTTTTTCTCTTTGCTTATGCTCGCATGCAGTCTCATGCCCCTTAACGTTTTTAATGGTTGTCTTCTTGAGGAAT